TCATTAGAGATGTGTATCTCTCCTGTGGATGCAGGAACTGAAAGATGGAGGGTCGTATTAGTGATAAAGCCAAAAACAAAGAGTGAGGATTGGGAGCATTGAAAAGAGTTTGTACCTTTCAGAGAGATACAAATTCTACTTAACAAATGAGCTCATTTATCCCTCAAACTTCTCAGTTATTCACAGAGTGTGGGTATGAGGACATACTGTCATTGTGAACTTCACACTACTGTCAGTAGGTGATAACCAGCAACCAAGCTCCGTTATTCAGATATCTTTACTTAATTTTAAACAATTAGAGCTTTATTATCCATAGGAAGGAGAAAGGAAACAGAAATGGAAACCAGTTATACTGTCAAATAATTAATCTTCTGCAGAAATCCGTGAAACCTAACTTATAATTTAATTAGCTTTATCATGCTCACACAAGATTTCAGCTCGTTGCAGAACACTCCAGTTTTGCCTGTTTTCTTATAAAGTAAACAGCAGGCTATAATAATGTCATGCAAGACATACTGTGTGCACATTAATCATTTATTATTTTCTTTATTGAATCTGATCCCTGTATGATACAAAATACTGAGTACTATAAGGAATTAAGAGTAAGTGAACATTCCAAAGAAATAATAATGTTAATACCTTTGTCTTTTATCTGGCAATATTTTCTCATTGGCTCTGATTTCTTCAAGAATTTTATAAAAGTACAGACCATAATTGTGCTAATAAAGAGGAAATTACACCAACCTACAATTAGAGTAATAAGGAAAAATGTACAGCAGATCATAATTGAACCAACAAGAGGAAAATATAATCATGTTTAATGGCTTATGTGAGTGTTAGTGTCTTCTGTATACTTAATAAATTGGTATCCATTTTCATGGTATGTATCCAAGACACCTTTCCTAATATTATCAAATTACCCTTCGGATCTATTGTTGGGAACTTCTGCTAGTCCTGGAAGCTCCCCTGGAGTGAGGCTTCTTTCAATAACCAGAATGACAACAGAATTTCAGATGGCTCTGACCACCAGCTACAATCCCTGCAGCAGCACTTAGGTGCTCTCCAGGTTTATTTAGGGTGTCCCTGGTTTACATTCCTGGGTATACACTGGGGTTATGTGCAGCACCACGTATGAGATTTACAGAAGAAATATAGAAAGAGGAGAAAGGTGGAACTTTGGGGGGTCACTGTATTTGGGTATGGAAAGATACTCTGCAAGCGGGGTATACACGAAATTAAAGGCAGTGATTTATTTCCTCATACACACAGTAGAATAACGTGAATGCAAGCCCCAAAGCTGAGATCTGTAGTTCTTTGCTGCTGCTGAGCTCCCATCTTCTGGGTTTTTTACCTGAAGATATCACAGCTTGCAGCTTCGGTGGTTTTCCCTCTGAGTCCTTGAGCTGATAACTGTTCCCATCTCAGCAATCTTACCCCTGTCTGCAATTTCTCCTTTCGTATCTTGTGCAGCTTGAGTTTACTTGTTTTGCTCAGAGCTTTTTCTCACAACGTAGCGGGCTTCTCAGAGGTTCGAGCCAAGGTCACACAGATGCTCAGCATGAAAACTGAGGCGGAGATCAGAGACAACCAACCCCCCTGCCCCCCGAGGGAGCTTACCAAGGCTGGAGTTTAAACAAAACCTCCCCACATTTTCATACATGTGATGTTTCATATCGTTTAGTTGATGTTCCTCTCAGCAATTAAAAAAAAAAAAAAAGTTTCCTACTTTTACATAATATTAACATGTAAATATTTCCTCACACGTGCACACAGTTCATATGTGATATCGTTTACCTGGAAGTGAGATTTGCAAAGCTTTTCAGCCCAGTTATCCTTACAGGAGCCCAGGTGTTCTTTCTGAGGCTGTAGGGGGCTTGGAAGGGTGGGATCAAATCTGGTGAATGGGACTCTTCACGTGCAAGCGGAGCTTGGGATCTCAGAGGACACCTTGGGAGAGAGGCATGTGTTTTCCACCAGAAATATCTGAGATATGGTTTTCCAAACAGTTTCCTCTCTCATAGATTTCTCTGCTCTATTAGGTAAGTCCTGAAGATAACCCAGAATGTGCATAATTTAAGGTATTCATAAGTGTAAACATCTGCATATGCTTAGGTAATATCCTGAAGGGCAGTTTAATAATGAACTAAATCATAACAAAAATGTTTGATATTTCTATAATACATATTGTTTAAATTCTCTAAGCTTCTTAGTCTGCTAAATGTCAATCTTTCCTAAAGCTGGCCTTTCCTTTCATTTCTTAAGAGATTTGGACATCTCTCGTATCAAAATGACTATGTCAGTGTGACATCTATTTCATATGTACACATTAAACAGTGAAAAGACACTTTTATTTTTGGTGGTGATTTTTAAGAACTTTGCTTTAAATAAAAAATTACATAACCGCCCAAAACCCCAGCATTATAGATAGGTAGATAAATGGATAGAGATATTTAAAAGTATCAGCATGTGTACATACATATATATGTATATATGTATGTATGTTTAACAGCTCTTATACACACGCACGCGTGCGCACACACACACATATATATATATATATTCTGTCTGCTGGTTTGTACCTCTTTTCCTTTCAAGCTCCCAAAGGAAAACTGAGAAAATGACCACTCTACACAGAATTACTAAAGGCATTAAATGTATTTAATCTCTAATTTTCATTCAGGTATTTTTAGTAAGCTAAGTAATAACTAAAATAAGTGTTTCCTCTCACAGCACACAGTTGTGAAACTTTAATTTATATGTTAATTTTTTAATTAAAAGAAAAAATTATAGAAGAGGGCTTAATTTTCTTAAAAAGTACAGCATAATCGTCTAACATTAGACTAAAGTATAATAGCCAAGAAGTATAACAGGCTAAACAGTCTGTCCTAATGCCTCCCTTCCCCTGAAGACACGAGGTAACCCCATGGCTGAACTCAGTGTTTCCTACCGCCTGAGAGAGTTGATTCACTCACCCCCGGGTCACCTCCTCGGCGGCCGTAGAAATGCTCCGCGTTCTGCGTCTAGTAACGGCGTCTGCCTCGGAGCAGGAGGCTGTTTCAGGTGCCTTGGGCACTGCAAAGGGGAGCGGAGGGGGGCGAGGAGAAGGGAAGGGAGCGCTGGTGACAGCCGAGGTAGGACGACATGGCCGGTGCTGGAACATAGATGAAGCCAGAACGAGCATTTTCAGTGTTTTGAGTCTCCTGGTGAAGGCAGCGATGATGGTTGAGAACACAATGGTTTGTCATAAACATCAGAAATACCTTATTTAAAAGTGGCCTCTAACAAGATTTGGGGCTTATGATTCATTCTTCTGATGTCATAGCAGTGAAGCAAATGTGTGTCACCTGGCCGGGTTTCCAAATGGATTGAAGAGGCATTAGAGAAAGTCAGCGAATGCACACGTCAGAGAACATTGCAAACTGCCTCAATTTCAAGAGCACAACTTAGCGTTTCCTGCAGGAAACTGCACCCGAGAAGTTTTGATCAGCAAGAGTTGCCACCAGAGTTGATTCCGAATTAATCCTGGTTTGTTATTAAATTATTATTTTGTTATTAAATATTTCTATTTACATTACTGAGATAACAATCTCGGCTAAGAATTCTGAATTCCCAACTAGCAGCTATATTGGAGGCTTCTGTGCTGAAAGCTTAGGGATTTATAACCTGGTTTAGGTCTAGAATGGGACATGTCCTCTCCAATGGACGGGTCCCCCCAATGTACCTTTGAAACGTCTGATCCTAAAGTTAGACTGTAAAATTACTGGGAGGATCTAAATGACCACGCTTTCTTGAGCTTTTTTCTATTAAAACACTATTTCACATGCTAGCTTTTAAAAATCATTTGTAGTCTCCATGCTAAGGTCTATAAACTTCATACTTAACTTTTTATTTCTGCTTTATTCCTGTTCTATGCATTGCCAAATATTGCTTTTGTGTAATTGAAGCAGAGCTGTAGTTTGATTATTAAACAGAGGGAAAGTAATTGTCTTCAGCTCTAACAGGGGAAGCAAAGGCTCTCGGTAGAAGAAAACCTTAAATTGTGGAAAAGTTGGGTTTTTTTCAGAGCAGCACGAGAGAGCAGATGCTGCTGGGGCCCAGCCGCCCCACCACCAAGGGGTGGCCTTCTGGTTTCATGTGGGTGCTCAGGAACGTGGGTTCGACGAGACATTTTGTAGTGGGGGTAGATGTAATTTATTTATCTTCTCCACCCCTCTTCTCTATTCTGCCTTCGTTTGTACCTCAAAACATTTGCAGTTTAACTATCCCCCCCTGCACTGTGGGACACGTCCCCGGCTGTGCTGCAGCCCTGACAACTGACCTGCGGGTTAGACTGGCTTTGCACGTGCGGTGCTGAATTCTGGTGGAAACAATGCTTCAGAGCTTCAGGCAGAAGGAGGGTATCGGGGTACTAAGCACCATGGGCGATTTCCTGTTGGAAGCCTAAGGAGAGAGGGAAAACAGCGTGTGACGCCGTATGG